GACATATTCATAGCCTGTTATACACTAAAAAGTATTAGTAAGTTCATGGTATGTAAGGATCTTAAAATATCTAAGGTTAAAAAGATCATGCATCCAGTACTAGTTCATAGAGATTGATAAAATTCATAAATGTGTTAAAATCCGTCAAGTGTAAAAGGGTAAATATTGTAAGAGGAATGTGTAAACGTTATATTGACTACTTTACTTTGTGGTGCCTAATTTAAGGGTAAGTGTGTTAATCTGTGATCTACTAAATGCTCTTAATCTATGAGCCTGAGATCGATTGCTCTGGTCTCCACCCAACTTTCTGGGGAAATCGCGGTCTTTTTTCCTCATACTAAAGTTTTCAGTGAGGAAACAACTGCGTCACTCTCTGATTATTTCTCCCCTTTTTCAGGTACGTTATTGATATAAAACGAGTTAATTTGAATGTAATAACTTGCTAACATGTCAAGAGAGTTTAAGGTATGTGTTAGTAACATCTTGAGTAAGTTAGAGTTAAGTTGAAGGGAGTACTAGGTGCGTGTGTGAGGGAAACTTGCTTGGTTGCAGCGAAATAGCTTCATATTGAGAGTAGCTGCCATTTTATGCTAATTGTGAATGAACATGTGCGCTGTTAATAATATATTTGGGGTTATTTGTATAATGTGTTTCGAATACTTTGTTGACATGGTTGATAAATGTAGTTATGGGTTACTGAGCTAAAGCTACTTTGTGATTGACAGTTATATTGAAACATTTGTATATGTTTTAGTGAATTACAGTTTATGCTGTTGTGACTTGAATAAGCTTTGTACCCTACAAAACTCTGGTTCCTGTAGATCTGTTGTTCTGTAAAATGTGGTATTTTTGTAAAACTTATTATACTAAAGTTTTCAGTGAGGAAACAACTGCGTCACTCTCGTGATTATTTCTCCCCTTTTTCAGGGGCGTAACATGGACAGGTGTCTTTTATACTGATAACAAGTTCCAACAGGTGCCATTAATACAGGTAACGAGTGGAGGACAGAGGAGCCTATTAAAGAAGAAGTTACAGGTCTGTGAGAGCCAGAAATCTTGCTTTTTTGTTATTGACCAAATACTTATTTTCCACTATAATTTGCAAATTAATTAATTAAAAATCCTACAATGTTATTTTCTGGATTTTTTTCTTCTCAATTTGTCTGTCATAGTTGACGTGTACCTATGATGAAAATTACAGGCCTCTCTCATCTTTTTAAGTGGGAGAACTTGCACAATTGGTGGCTGACTAAATACTTTTCCCTCCCCACTGTACCTTCACAATAAATCCATTATTTATTTTAGACAGGTCTAAAGAAGCATGATATGAAGAAAACGTAGTCTATTTCAGAAGAACAGAATAGCATACTCTGAGTTGTCCTTATGTTAGGTCCTGATCTTGCTATGCCAAATGACTATGGGCTACACTAGTTAATTTAGCAGAAAAGATTTGCTTAGAATTCCGTGTCATTATTTTATAGTATGAAGAATACAATTGAACAAAGCTGAATAAAATAGAAAGGATATTTTCTCCAAATGATTTGAGGTAGTGCGCACATGCGGTTAGTCTGTGTTGAGCAGTTAACAAAGAAATAGGTACTCCTATATGCTTAATTTAGAGTTATTAATGTAACTTTAGCTGTTCTACAAACTTTGGGATATATGTTTAGATTTTCTATACATTGTAAGGCTGCATGATGCGACTAATAAAAAAGTCGCTTGAAAAGGCATGAGCTCTGCTTTGCTTTTTGCGCAGGCTGTACACACTACATCAGTCACTCATTCAGAATTTGACAAGCACTTGATAATGCCTAGAAATTCACGGCGGCATCCCCTTCGTGTGGCCGTAATGCACCCTAAAAAGAATCCATGCCTTTTGCAGCCAGTGGCCGCTGTGCCCTTCTCCCTGAGTGCTGAGCGCTCCGAATCACCTCTCACTCACATGGCTCTCCATCACGTGATCGGGTCTTTCTCACAGGCTACAAGTGAAGACAGACAAATCGGGGAAGCAACGGCGCGTCCTTATCCAATTCCGAGGTGCATATTGAAGATATTGGAAGAACTGTCCACATTTACTTTTCGTCAGCCAACAAGATGAGTAGGCCTAACGAACAGCAAAAGCACTAGCCTATGTCAATCTACTATCCCCCATAGTACAAAAGTCGACCTATTCTATTCTGTGCGAGAAATAAATATTCCAAACATAGTCTGGGACAGTTGTGGGATGCGATAGATCCCAAATTAATATAACCACTAGCATCAAAAAAACGTTTTTACACAATGTGGCTGACGCAACAGATCAGAAAGTTTAGCTTAAAATGTTAAACTATTAGGCTATTTCTTCACATTATAAGCACAGCAATGCGCACATGGTAGTAGGCTATAAGCGCAAATGTTCCATTAGCAAATGCAATTACGCATGTAATGATTTAATTATGAAGTTGCATTTTTATGGTGAAAATTATCTTCCCCAAACTTGAAACTCCCTCGCTGCCTATGTATGCCAGTTAGGCTCTTCTTTTACCCCTTGTAAAGTGGATTAATGTGCTTAATTATAAGAAGTTATTTGGCCACTTTAGTTGTGATAAAACCTTATCAAAACATATTAGGCCTATGGGCTAGGCTACGACGATTATTCAAAAAAAGTAACAAAAAAAGGCATTGTTTCTTATGCTGGCCATCATTCACAAGCGATAATATATAATTCACAAGTGATAGGCTAATATTGTCACCTATCAGACTATTCTTGATTTAATCTTGTCTTTACATATACATTTGTTTGGATTTAGAATGGACCATTATCATGCACCTGTATCAAACAGTGTCAGCGGGAAAAATTACATGTCATCTATGCACTTAAATAGCGAATGGAGAATGCTTTTCCCGTGGTTCATTTTCATGCCAGCCAGGGGTGTAGAGCCTAACTGGCATACTCTAATGTGCTTAATATTAGGAAAGTTGAGAAATAAATATAGTATGCCTAGCCTATAGAAAGCTGATGGGATCCTCCTCTTTTTAGTAGAGGCCATTACTCTGTTTTCTCGCGCAATTGCATAGCCTATAGAAATGTTGCGCAACATGAGCTCATGGGCTCTCATGAAGTGTTTGATTCGATTTTCAATCTGACATCAATGCAAATGTTAATGATTAGAAGGACAATAGAGTGATGAGTACCAGGCAGTTAGCAAGTTTGGTAGGCTACTAATGACCAGCAGCAGCAGCAGCATCAGAGCTTGGAGAAGCCTAATTACCGTGACTAAACGGTCATGTGGAATTTGACTGCATTCATTACGTCTGACTGCCGGTGTGGCAGTAATACAGTCACCCCAACAGCCCTACCCTTGACTTATTCCACATTTTGATGTGCTAAAGCCTGAATTCAAAATGGATTAAAAAAAATATTCTCACCCGTCTACACACAATACCCCATGATGACAAAGTGAAAACATTTGTTTGAAATTTTTGCAAATGTATTGAAATATCTCATTTATATAAGTGTTCACATCCCGTTGCTATGACACTAAATTGAGCTCAGGTGCATCCAATTTCATTTGATCATCCTTGAGATGCCACTACATCTTGGAGTCCACCTGTGACATATTCAATTGTTTGGACATGATTTAGAAAGAAACACATCTGTCTATATAAGGTCCCACAGTTGACAGTGCATGTCCGAGCAGAAACTATACCACAAAGTCCAAGTAGATGTCCAAGCTAGAATTGTGATGAAGCATATATCTGGGGAAAGGTATAAAACAATTTCTAGAGTGTTGAAAAAAATAAAATATGGAACTACCCAGACTCTGCCTAGAGCTGGTCGTCCGACCAAATTGAGCAACCGGGCAAGAAGGATCTTGGTGATGGAGGTGACCAAGAACCCAATGACCACTCTGACAGAACTACAGAGTTCCTTGGTGGAGATGGGAGAACCTGCCAGAAGGATAACAGCCTCTACAGCACTTCACCAATCTGGGCTTTATAGGAGAGTGTCCAGACGGAAGCCACTCCTGAGAAAAAGGCGCATTTCAGCATGCCTGGAGTTTGCAAAAAGGCACGTCAAAGACAGACCATAAGGCAAAATATTATGTGGTCTGATGAGACAAAAATGTAACTCTTTGGCCTGAATGCAAAGCACTATGTCTGGAGAAAACCAGGCACAGCTCATCACTCGCCTAACACCATCTCTACCGTGAAGCATTGTGGTGGCAGCATCATGCTATGGGGATGCTTTTCAGCAGCAGGGACTGGGAGACTGGTAAGGATAGAGGGAACAATGAATGGAGCCAAATACAGGCAAATCCTTGATGAGAACCTGCTTCAGAGTGCAAACCTGCTTCAGAGGCATTTCACTGTACTTGTGCATGTGACATTAAAACTTGAAACCAACCTTAGACCGGTGTGTTCCAACAGGACAATTACCCAAAGCATACAGCCAAAGCAACATTGGAATGGCTTCAGAACAAGAATGTGAAAGTCCTTGAATGTCCCAGCCAAAGCCCAGACTTAATTCCCATTGAAAATCGTCGGAAAGACTTGAAGATTGCTGTTCACTGCCACTCCCCATCTAACTTAACAGAGCTTGAGAAAATCTGCAAGGAAGAATGGGAGAAAATCCCCAAATGCAGATGTGCAAAGCTGATACAGACATTCCAAAGACTACTCAAACCTGTAATCACCACCAAATGTGCTTCTACAAAGTATTGACTCAGTGGTGTGAATAAATTACTTATATAAATGAGATATTTCTGTATTTAATTTTAAATAAATTCTAAAAACATGTTTTCACTTTGTCATTATGGGATATTATGTGTAGACAAAAAAATAATAAAATAAAAACGTTTGATTTCATGCTGTAACAAGAACATTTGGAATAAATCAGGGGGTATGAATCATTTCTGAAGGCAATGTATAAATGTATGAAAAGTACATAAAGCACAAATCTGGCAATAGCAAAAAGGCAAGTCTGGCTGGCAATTGCCATGTGGACTCTCCTCCATACCTTCATTTTTGTCAGCGTCCAGAAGGTTCTGGAACTCTGTGTGGAAGATCTCCAGGTGCTTCTCGATGAGCACCTGCTCACACTTGCGGGCTAGCTCGTCCTGCGTGCTCTCATGGAGGTACACCTGCACCCTCCGCTGCTCCTCCAATAGACGCGCCTCAGCCTGAGAGAGAGACAGAAGGAGAAAGAGAGCAGAGGGAGAGACCGAAAGAGATGGAGAAAGAGAGAGGGATTCTGCACATTTTTACATTAAACAAAGGCTACTGATAAAGCAATTTGGCGCGATACACTGGTTTCATAACCCACCTTTTTCATGTATTCAGTAACTGGGTTTTGTTGCAGGAACTCTGTGCTCTCTCGTGTGTAAAAACGCTCAGTGTCCGCCAAGAACTGAGTCTCGAAGTACTCTTTGTAGACTGACAATGTGGGTCCTTTGGCAAAGGCATCATCCTCATTGAGACCCAACTCAACTGAAAGACACAACCTCCACTGTCAACCAACACATCATTTCAGAGCCATGATATCACATTTCGCACAACAGTTTCATATTGGTTGAACAACACACCATTAAAATATGCCAGGACCTACCATAGGACTGGACGACTCCACTGATAAGCCTGGTGTTGATGGTCTCTCCGTTACGTTCCTTCTCAATGAGCTTCAATACAGCATTTGTGACCTTAGTTGGGGGTGAAGACATTTAGGATCATAACTTCAACAAAATGTAACATATCACAATCTACTCACTAATCAACTAAGACTGGGAATAACTTTTCCACAGCTGATCTGAGGGGATACTCACTTGTTTATTCAAAGGTCTGAAAAGGCATTCTCTCCATGTCACCAAAGCGAGCTGAAAGGAGAGGAAAGGATTAGGCAATGCATACAATTGAGAAAACCATTGAAGAATGAGATTTAGGTTAACTAAAAAAATGTGTTGTCTTACAGAGTAGATTTCGTAGATCCCTTTGCGCCCCTCGTCACACTCGCGGCGGACCCAGTGCCGGTTGAGGTAGGCACAGATACCATTCAGCACTTTGCTGGAGAATCTGTAGTCTTCCCACTGCTGTGTGTAGAACTTTAATACACTCTCATCCATCAGGTCTTCTCCATCCTGCAGATGATGGGGACAGAGGGAGGAGAAGAAGAGAGAAGAGACTGATATTTAGTTAGAGATAAGCATGCAAATGTGGTAGGACATTTGATATGCTTCCTTTTAACCTCTACTGGAAGGGCTATTGGAGAATTAACCAGTAGGCTAATTCATTCAGTCGATTCATTGACCTCATTCCATTTAAAAAGGCACGGAACAGAGCATTACCTTGAGCAGGTTGGTCAGGTAGTTCTTGAGGAACTCCTTGAGTCTCTTGTAGAGCTCCAGGCCCACAAACTGTGCCCCTCCTGGGGTGGGGGCCTTTTTGGAGGGCTTGGATGGAGGGGGCCCTGCACCACGGGCCTGATTGGACTGATGCACACTGGTACAATAGTTATAAACATGTCTGGGTGGTGGGTTAAGGCAACAACATCAATGTAGAAACTTAAAATACTGACAATGGATTATCCCTAATATGCTTTAAACTGAGGCAAACCTGTGCTGGGGTCTTTCCCATAAAAACAATTTTTTTCCAGCTTTGCCACTTTTTTCTGTCTTACCAGGCATAAAAGCCATCTGTTAGCTAACCCCCCCCTCCCCTCCCCTCCCCTCCCCTCCCCTTAATAAACACACATTAGTCAGAGAAGCCTGGCAGTGTATCTATGTGGAAGGATACGTGTACAGTTCCATGTATCGTGATTTGGCCATGCTCTGTCTGGTGTACACCTGCTGTATTCCTGCTCGCAGGTCATCCCAGATCTGGTCCAGACCAATCTGCTTGAGCCCATGAGGGTTCTGGCTTCTGTTGGATGACATTATCTCTTTGCTTGTTGTTGCGCTCTTCTCAGTTGTTCCGTTTCCCGTCTTCTTTTATTGCTTGTAATGAAACCGTCAAGAGCTACTCCTCCATAAGGTGATGAAGAGATGGGCCACAATCTAACACAGAGACAAGGTGGGGTCTTCTCTTCGGACTGGCAGACAATCTTGGAAGACCCCCTTCAAGTAGCAATCAGAAGAGCACCCTGCCAAGAGACCTGCAAACAAACACACAAAAACATTGTAAGAAAGGAGCACACATTGTATAGGTCACGTAGTGCAGACCCTGAAGTGTAAGCAAAACTCTTGCATTGTAGAATGTTGGGATTGCAATAATCTATGTTGACATTCAAGTGAAAAAAATCATGACCTGGTTGGACAAAAAAATTATAATTAGGGTCTAGCTCATCAATAGTTGCACTTGAAACGGCTTCCATTGTAGACTACAGTACACAGCAAAATGATTGGAATAGTTCCCCTGCCATACAAAGTTGGTATCTGCTATCCAGGTGCTAATGTATTGTAGAGATTAGGCAAGTCAGTGTTATATTGACTCCAGCCTCCCCTTGATCAAGACCCAACAGCTGGGCCTGAGATCTGACCTTCACTGGTCCTGAATATTGTAACTACACTACAGTGTCAGTAAGTGTGCCTGCCCACCCCAGTGCAGCCTGGCTGGGGGGAATATGGCTGACTGGATTGGGCTTTCCTTCCGCTTGAAACCTAAACCCTGCTGCTCTCAGCTTCTGTTGTTTAACCTGTGCAGGGCAGGCAGGGCTGATTTCCGGCATGGAGCAGGAGATCATTCAAGTGATATTGAATAATACATTGAAGGTAGAGAAATCACAAAGAAAAATAACAATAACTTAAGAGTAGACAAGAGTGATTTCAAGATGAGGCCTAATCTGACCTTGTTTCATTACGTGTTTGTATGTAAATATGTTAACTTAGATTCTACTAAGTCTTAGAATACAATCATAGACATAATATAGGCAAGGGGTAGGCAACCCTGGTCCTGGAGCAGGCACTTCCTGTTTTTGATTTAACTGACCTGGAAGACCAGGTGTGTTGAATTTAGGCAATCACTGAACTGATCATTTAGTTAAGTAGTGTGGTGCCTATTTGGGGAAAGATCCTGCAGTACGTGAGGCACTCCAGGAACAGGGTTGCCTACCCCTGATATAGGCTAACCAAAGCGTATACAATGATATCCTTGGATACTAAAGTCAAACATATCCTATGAGAATAGTCTTGAATGCAGAAACACTGCACACATTGTGCATGAATGACAAACATGAGATGGTAAGATAAATGTCGGGCCTAATTGTTAAATAACCAACTGGTCAAGATAATTACTATTTCAGTCAAGGCTCAAGTATTCATGAACTTATCACAGGGACAGGGTTGTCTCTAACCATGGCAACAGATGCAGATTAAGCAGCAAACGCACTGGATCAGGACAGTATGGTTTGGCAAAATGATTGCCACTTAGCTGGTGGCTAACAACAATCTTGGAGGGAATGTGATGTCTGGTTGCAATACAACATTACATATCTATTCTCTTTATATTGCTAGCTAGCTCTGTCAGTTGCACAACTGTTAATATTGATAGCTAGCTAGCCCATGGCAATATCTTGTACAGTAAATAACAACATTCTGACAAAGCTAGCTATTACACCTGTGTACAGTCTCCATGCACGAGCTAGCCAAGGAAGCTTCTGAGCTTGTAGCTATCTAGCTTTGTCATGCCATGGCTAAACCTGTACTATTAACCTGGCCAGTGGTGCAGCGTAACCATAGCAGTTAGCAATGTTTTGAACTAGCTGACGCTAGCATTACATTTGTTGGGTGTAACTAGCTAGCTAGTAACTTTAAAACCAAATAGTCGATAACAATACAAACTGCAAATTTGGATATACAAATGTTATGACCAACCTACCAAACATAACTCACTGGCTAATACTATCAGGGTAACGTGAGCTAACTACCGTGAGAAATGAGGCCTGTTGTTCAGGCGCAACGCTACTGCTAACTTTAGCTACCTGACCACAGAAGCCAAATAACGTTACAGATAGACAGCCAGGGAGTGTTCTCTGTATAAACACAAAATAGTCGAGTGCGTGTTCAATTTTTGTATAACTAGCTAGTTAGATAAAATAATATCCAAGTTCACTGGTGATATTTGTATTTATGCTTAGCTACTGACTAGCTAGCTGACGTTAGCTTACCATCGTGTAGCAGTAGTGCTCGTTCTTGACTCCAAATGAAACAAAACAGTACCAATTAGAAACAAATTTTACGTTTATAATCTGAGTAAAGTATTGGAATACTCCTTTTCAAAGAGCAATCCCCGTTTCCCTCTAAATTATTTACTTTTCACTGCCACAACAATAGCTGCGGCAGTACATTGAAATAACACTTTACAACAAATCTGTGTTCCCAGAAAGATGTCCAATGGAATTTGAGAGTGGAATTTAAGGTTCCGGAAAAAGTCGGTGAATTATAATAGACATACTGTATGTTGTGCATGGAACAGTGTGGTGTGTGAGAAGTTCAAGGTTCTAATGAAAACTGATTGATAATCATGTATGCCACTACAACAAAAAACAACTAATGTTGTCATATTCTGAAACATACTGCAATTAATGATATTAGTATTGGTTTTATGCAGGGCTGGCCCCAGCCATAAATGACATTAGGGCCTAATAGTTTATGCCAAATAATGTCCCCCGGCCAAATAGTGTCCCCTCTGCATCACAATAGGATTGGATAAACTATTAGCATCCGTTGCTATATCAACGGTGTGATGACCTAATAATTAGAATTTTGGAGATCATTACAGCCTAATTGACGTTCTTTTCATCATCGCTATGCAAACAAGGCTGATTTACGCGACCATTTCGCTGTTTAAACAAGTTTTGTTTAGCTAATAAAATGAAAACATTAACTCAAACTACTTTTGGGTACCTTGTTAACATTACAACATGAAATCCATGTCTTAAACGTTGCTACGTTTCAGAAATGGCAAAGAAAACGTAATCTGCTTGACACATTAAAGTTACTTACCTTAACGATCACGAAGTCAGCTAATTTCCACTCCATTCATGTGCAAATACGGTTGATTCATACACTGGCTTGTCTGGCTGTCATGTTTTTATTTTAATCTGCCCTTCCCTTATCTACACTGAAATAATATAATTTCAGTAGTCCTCTATTATGACGCATTTTTTTTCTATCTCGCATAGCTCATTAGTACACCCTTGTGGTTGAATATACAAATCAAATCAATTTGTATTGGTCACATACATGTGTTTAGCAGATGCTATTATGGGTGCAGCGAAATGCTTGTGTTTCTAGCTCCGACAGTGCAGTAATATCTAACAAGGTAATATCTAACAATTTCACAACGTATGTCCAATACACACAAATCTAAGTAAAGCAATGGAATTAAGAAAATATAAATCTCCACCCTCTCCGAGTTGGGCATCTCCGGCGCTGCTCACTCTTGGATTGCGTCCTACCTGACAGGTCGCTCCTACCAGGTGGCGTGGCGAGAATATGTCTCTGCACCACGTGCTCTCACCACTGGTGTCCCCCAGAACTCAGTTCTAGGCCCTCTCCTATTCTCTCTATACACCAAGTCACTTGGCTCTGTCATATCCTCACATGGTCTCTCTTATCATTGCTACGCAGACGACACACAATTCATTTTCTCCTTTCCCCCTTCTGATAACCAGGTGGCGAATCGCATCTCTGCATGTCTGGCGGACATATCAGTGTGGATGTTGGATCACCACCTCAAGCTGAACCTCGGCAAGACGGAGCTGCTCTTCCTCCCGGGGAAGGACTGCCCGCTCCATGATCTCGCCATCACGGTTGACAACTCCATTGTGTCCTCCTCCCAGAGTGCAAAGAACCTTGGCGTGACCCTGGACAACACCCTGTCGTTCTCCGCTAACATCAAAGCGGTGACCTGATCCTGCAGGTTCATGCTCTACAACATTCGCAGAGTACGACCCTACCTTACACAGAAAGTGGCACAGGTCCTAATCCAGGCACTTGTCATCTCCCGTCTGGATTACTGCAACTCGCTGTTGGCTGGGCTCCCTGCCTGTGCCATTAAACCCCTACAACTTATCCAGAACGACGCAGCCCGTCTGGTGTTCAACCTTCCCAAGTTTTCTCATGTCACCCCGCTCATCCGCACACTCCACTGGCTTCCAGTTGAAGCTCGCATCTACTACAAAACCATGGTGCTTGCCTACGGAGCTGTGAGGGGAACGGCACCTCCTTACCTTCAGGCTCTGATCAGAACCTACACCCGAACGAGGGCACTACGTTCATCCACCTCTGGCCTGCTAGCCCCCCTACCTCTACGGAAGCACAGTTCCCGCTCTGCCCAGTCAAAGCTATTCGCTGCTCTGGCACCCCAATGGTGGAACAAGCTCCCCAACGACGCCAGGACAGCGGAGTCACTGACCACCTTCCAGAGACACTTGAAACCCTACCTCTTTAAGGAATACCTGGAAAAGTACACCTCTCAAAAAAATTAAGGGAACACTTAAACAACACAATATAACTCCAAGTCAATTACACTTCTGTGAAATCAAACAGTCCACTTAGGAAGCAACACTGATTGACAATAAATTCACATGCTGTTGTGCAAATGGAATAGACAACAGATGGAAATTATAGGCAATTAGCAAGACACCCCCCAATAAAGGACTGGTTTTGCAGGTGGTGACCACAGACCACTTCTCAGTTCCTATGCTTCCTGGCTGATGTTTTGGTCACTTTTGAATGCTGGCGGTGCTTTCACTCTAGTGGTAGCATGAGACGGAGTCTACAACCCACACAAGTGGCTCAGGTAGTGCAGCTCATCCAGGATGGCACATCAATGCGAGCTGTGGCAAGAAGGTTTGCTGTGTCTGTCAGCGTAGTGTCCAGAGCATGGAGGCGCTACCAGGAGACAGGCCAGTACATCAGGAGATGTGGAGGAG